AGAACAGAAACATCACAAAGTTCAAGGTCAGTCTCAGTAACTCAGCAAAACCCTAAGCAACCTAGTGAGACCCTATCTCAAAATAAAAAAATAAAAAGGGCTGGGGATATGGCTAATGGCAGTGTTTAATCAATCCCCACTACTTAAAAAAAAAAAAAAGAAAGAAAGAAATAACTTCCTATAATTTCACTTTCCAGCCCCAAACAATTCCATTGTGAATACTATGAATAAATATATATTTTTAAGCAAGACAGAATCATCATTGTCTGTGTTATTCAGTGTAACTTCTCATAAAAATAAATATAGATTTCTATCAAAACAGCTGTATGGGTCTGGGGTTGTGGTTCAGTGGTATAGCGCTTGCCTCATATATGTGAGGCACTGGATTCAATCTTCAGCACCACATAAAAATTAATTAATTAATTAATTAAAGGTATTGTGTTCATCTACAGTTAAAAAAAAATAATCCACTGTAGAGATAAGCCAGAAATCACTTAATCAAATTTCTACTGATAGATATTTAGATGGTTATACCAAGCTTTGGCAGACTATAATATCAAAACTAAGACAAGAGTGCCATAATCAAAACTCAAAAAAAATAAGGTCCTTCAGCCATCTGATTTCCTAAATCAGAGAAAAGCATTGTTTTTATCTTTCATAATATTCTTTCTTATATGTATCAAGACTCATACTGAACAATAAGTTTTAGATTGCAAAAAAGAGGTTTAATATTTGCACCTGTTTATAAGTTTGTCCATGAGTTAAATGAAAAACACACGAAAGCAATATATATGTGCATATATACATACACATGCATACATATGTGTATGCATGCATGTACATATACATATACACACATATATATATAATACAATACAAAACTATCACAAAGTGCTAAAAGCATTGTTTTCTGGTTTTGATTTTTTTTGTGTATGTGTGTGCGTGCTGGGGATTAAAACTAAGCCCTTGCATATGCTAATATAGGTTCTACCACTGAGCTATACCTCAGCCCATACTGTGTTTTAATTGAAACTTTAAAAAAAAWATATATATATACACACACACACACGCACACACACACACACACACATACATATATATGTTTTAGTTGTAGATGGACACAATACCTTTATTTTATTTGTTTATTTATATGTGATGTTGAGGATTGAACCCAGGGCCTCACATGCACTCTACCACTGAGCCACAACCCCAGATCCTGTTTTAATTGAAATTTAAGCTAGTGTTTCATGATTCTACTTAAAACAAACAAGCAGACAAACAAAAAACCAACTAGCCAAACAAAAACAGCCAAGTCATGAATTGGCTTGAAAGACTCAAGGACAGAAAGACAAAAAGAAGAACCACCTGTTGACCACAAAAGCTCTCGGGCCACAGAACAGGTTCTGTGGGTTTAAGGTTCTGATACCATCTTAGTAGCATACTTGGGGATGTAACATCTCTGAAACGCCAGAGCTATGCGGTAGTCAAGCTCCTGTCTTCTGACCATCAGGAAATTGGAGACATACATCACACTGTGTACGTACCAATGATGTTTAATACAGGCTTGTTGGTTCTTGGGATGCTGCAGCTAAACCTGATGTGGACACAGATTTTATGGGGCCACAGAAATTCTAGTCACCTGGTCAAACAGAGACCACCATGGGACTGTCCCTGGTAGATACAAACCTGAGCTGACACAAACCCCTATGTAAGTGCTTGACCATAGCTGCAATTTCTTTTTTCTTTTTTGGGGTACTAAGGATTTAATCCAGGGGCACTTTACCACTGAGTTATATTCCTAGACCTGCTTTTTTTTTTTTTTTTTTTTTTTTTTTTTTTTTTTTTTTTTTTTTTTTTTAATTTTGAGTCAGGTCTCACTAAGTTGCTGAGGCTAGCTCTGAGCTTGTGTTCCTCCTGTCTAAGCCTCTGGAGTCACTGGAAATACAGGAGTGTACTACTGTGCCCAGCACAAGCTACATCTCTCAGCACCGTGGCAACATGGCTGATCTCACCTGCTCTGTGTCAGATCGATTCCGCTTTCCTTCAGCTGGAGCTCCATCACTTCGGATCACTTTAGGCTTCCGTTTTTTGCTGGATTCTGATGACATGGTTGTTCTTTAAGGTTAGGAGAAAACAATAGAGAGCTAGTAAGAGGAAAAAGCTTTCAGGATTTTTCTGAAGTAAGAATACTAAGTCTATCTAGCAACTCTAATTATTTATAGATGTGGTAACTCAAGAAAAGCCACTCAACCTCTAAAGCTTGAGTGTAATCCTCTGTAAAACAGGGACTCATCTTTCAGCCTGTCCAAAATGAACTTGTCTCACATAAATCCGTTCCCACTACCGTTAACTGGTCACTGTGTGGTGGGCCTTGGTCTAAGCACTTTATGGGTATGTTCTCATTTGATTACTATAAAAAAATTTTCAGATAAGAACCACTAACATTTTATAAATGAGAAAACTGGGAATTACAAAGGCAAATATCTTGCCTATCCCACACTAAAACTAGTACACTAAAACTTGGACCAATGTCAAAGCTCTTTTTTTAAAAAAAATATTAAGTTTTTAGTTGTAGTTGGACACAATATGTTTATTATATTTATTTATATGTGGTGCTGAGAATCGAACCCAGGGCCTCACACATGCTAGGCGAGTGTGCTACCCCAGCCCATTGTCAACGCTCTTGACAACTATAGTATTAGGCCTCCTAGTCTTGACAGCATTTCATCTGGTGATGTCATGCTGGCTGAACCTAAAATTTAAAGAACAGAACGCACATTTCAGGGGGTTCTAGGCTCACAAAACATCCTCCCTTGTAGTCATCACCTCAGCCCCCAGGTGGGCAGCACTGTCCCTCTTAGTTAGCTGCCACACTTATTGGGGAGAGCCAACAGTGTGTTGAAGCAGAGTCAAAAGTGCACTAACTAGAATCTCCGCTCTACTATTTTATAGTTATAAGTTCTGGGTCAAGTCACTTCACTTTTTTCTGGATCTGTTTCCTCACAAATCAAATGAGAATAACGGTCCCTATATCAGGGCTCATGGGGAGGGAAGGCATTAACACAAAAGACACTCTACAAGGAAAGATGATAAACTTGAGCTGGGGCTGTGGTGCATGGGTGATATTACATAACACTGAATACCCAAGGAGAAAATTAATCCCTTTCAATTCTTTTTTGAAACTTCCAATTGTTTCAGGAACTTATGTCTTCCATAATTTACTTTTGACATCTATGAATACCAAAGTTCACTTGTTTAAAAAAAAACAGGACTTTATCTCCAAGACTTAGACAATGAAATCTGGGCAGAATTTGTTAACAAAGGCCTGTTTTCATTATATTAAATATATTTGTATCATTATCTTCTGCATAAAAAAAAATGAAAGCAATTTTCATGGTAAAATAACTTGACATTTTTTCTCCAAGTATTTTTGTTTAAAAAGTGAAACGGGGCTGGAAGTGTAGCTCAGTGGTAGAACGCTTGCCTAGCATGCCTAAAGACTTAGGTTCGAGCCCCAATAACCACCGCTCTCAAATAAATAAAGTGACTGGAATAAAAATCTTTAGTAAACAAATTGTACAAGTGGCAAACTGAATTGGTAAATCCCACAAAGGTGGGACCCGAAAGGCTTCAGTGTGGGAAATCCCAACACTGGGACACAATAGAGTGCCCAGCACACAAGACTGCACAATAAATGTGAGCTGTTACCACCATCATTAACATCATGAGGCTACAAAGCAGGGCCTGAGGATGCTGCAGCAAACATTTTCCAGATGAGGATACAGCGCGGGGCCCGGGGACCAGGAACACAAGGAGGAGTGGGCGGATAATCTGGTTGGTACTCCAGCCCAGAGACACCTCTTGCGCGGTCTGCACCTCAGTCCCGACCAGGTTCCGCCGTTCGGCGGGTCACACCACCCTCTTCCCTTCCTCACCACACTGCTTCACCGACCGGTCCCCGGCTGGACTGCGAGCTACTTCCGGCCGCCCGGCAATCTAAGCGCATACACCATAGAGAAGCGGAAGAAAGGAAAGAGCGGCCGGCCGGAAGTAAGGAGCGGAGACCGGAAGCAAAGGCGAGGGCCGGAAGCAAAGGCGGGTGTGCGTGGGAGGAAAGGAAGTGGCGGTTCTGATCAGGGGTTGCCCCTTCTCGCTCTCGGAAACCGGCTAACTTAGGCTGTGCGGTTAGGCTCTTCGGTGACTAGTTGTTTCCCCAAAGCGTAAAGCAGTCGCGCTACTAGTGGGCGCTCACTTCCCAAACTGTTTAAATAATTGTGATATGCAGAAGATTAGCACAAGAGCGTGGCAGTGTCTAATTTGGTCCCTAGTGAATTTGCCTCCCACATAGGGCCCTTCCTTTTTTTCAATGGCACTAGGAATTGAACCCAGCAGCATTTTGCCTCTGAGCTACATCCCCAGCTTTTCAACTTATTTTGAGATCTGGTATAAGTTGCCAAGGCCGGCCTCCAACTTGTAATCTTCCTGCTTCACTGGAGTTATGGGCGCGCGCCACTTCACCGTCACCCAGCCATAACCGGACTACGACCATATTCCCCATAACACACTACACCAATGAAGGTGGCAATTCAGGAAGGGTAGAATTCCATTTTACACTGTTTTTTCCACAAGTGTGCATCACCTATTTCTCCATGTTAGTCTTGATTTGCCCAGTTCAGAATCACAACTTTTACGCAGATTTTGGATGCATCAAGTGTTTTCTATCCCCAGCATGAATTGTAAGGGTCCAGGATTTTTGATGTAAATCCCATTTATCTGGAGCTACATTCAATATTCATCCCGAATTCCATGTTGTGCAGAGACAGTTGTGCCCTGAGTAAGGATGAAGATGCCCTCCTTGAGAGTAGCTCCAGAACACAGTACCCTCCAGAGAACAGATCACCAGGTGAAACTGAGAAGCCTGCCAGTTCTGCTTTGGGCTGAAATTACTTGCAAATGAGGAAAAGACACCATAATTTATAGTAAATATTTAATTGGTTCCATCAGCAACTCCAGCACATTTTCCTGGTAAGGAGGCAGATTCAGGCTACCCAAGGGTTCATGAGGTATGGGGGTCACTGAGGAGGTCCCCAGAGTCACTGACCCTACTCCACAGGCTTCAGGCCCTGTATAATGAATGTCAAGTAAGGGAAAAGGAATGCTGGATGAGGGAAATACAGGCCCTGTCCTGTAGTTTTGCCTGCAGGAAGGAGGGAGGGCAGGAGAAGGGCTGGAACTACATATTTAAGTTCTCAATCCCAGATAAGCTTCTCTATGTAGTATTATGGACCTTCTTGCCAATTGGTCACCTCTATTCTATCTTCCCAGTTCTGTTTTACAAATTGTGCAAGTTCTCTTGAGTTCTAAGTTCTAGTTTCTGGGTTTCTGTTTCATGTCTGTCTCTTGCTCCCAGATCAATCCTGCTCCAATCCCTTTTCCCAGCCTCTCCGGATAGATTCTGGATTTCATTCTAACCTTTAAGATTTGAGGGTTTATGGCAATACCAGGCTTCCCCCCAACAAGTGGGACTTGACTCAATCTTTGCTTATGCAGTAAGGATGGCACAGTGGAGATCAGGGAATTCCTCAAGGCCTGGCCTGGTCTGACCTCCTCCCTTCACACTACCTTCTGTGCAACTATGCTAACCCAAGGGTTTCCATGCTGATACCTGGGACTGGTGGCCTTGATTATGAGGAATCTCGGAGAGAAATGTGAGAAGTCCTAAAAGGTTGCTATTCTTCATTTAGGGAAATTAGAAACTACCAGCAGAGGGGAAAGAGGTGAGTGGAAAGGCTTAGGGAAGGATGGATCTGGACAGAGCTTAAGTCCTCAGAGCCTTGTCATCTTTGTCTGAGCTGTGCACTACCCTTCAGAGTCTTCCCAGAGCCAAGAGAAATCAGGACTAGGAACTCCTCTGTCCTGGCTGCCTTGAGGGAGAAGGGGAAGGAGCTAGAGCCATCAGCAGCATCATTGTAGAGGCGAAATCTTCAAGGGGATCATGATCCGAGACTCCATGTGTCGCACCAAGGGGACTGTGGAGAAAGGAAGAGGTTGGGATAGGGGTGTAGACAAGCCAACAACCCCTCATACACTCATGGACACACAAGCCGTTGAAAGAAGAGGCAGCCCAGATGCTGAAACAGGAAAGACTCATTGCCCTCCTAAAAAGGCAGATTGAAAGCATCAGGTGTCCCAAATTATGGAATGAGACAGGACTTTCAGGGTAATGAGATGAACATTTTTATTGTTTTGCTTTTTGGTACTGGGGATTGAACCCAGGGGCACTTTACTACTAAGTTACCTCCCAGTCCTTTTTAGTTTTTTATTTTGAGAGAGGTTCTTACTAAATTGCTGAGGCTGGCCTCAAACTTGTGATCCTTCTGCTTCAGCATCCAAAATTGCTGGATTTTAGGTGTGCACAAAAAGTTAAAAATTTACCTTCGTGTATATATGGAAAAATAAGTGGCATAGGGCTAGGGATTTAGCTCAGTGGGACAACACTTGACTAGCATGCATGAGACCCTGAGTTCATTCCTAGCACCACAGGAAAAAAAAACCAAAAAACTAGCATAGTATAAAAATGCTTTCACAGATATTATTGCTAAGGACAAAGTAGGGAGATTTAAAGAAAAATATCAAAAAGTCATTGTAAAGGTGGGGGTGTAGCTCAGTGAGAGTGTGTATGCTTATGAGCATGTGCAAGGTCCTAAGTTCAATTCTCGGCACCATTTTTTTTTTTTTTTTCAGTGCTGGGATTGAACCCTGGGCCTGTGCATGCAAGGCAAGCACTCTACCAGCTGAGCTATATCCCCAGCCCTAAGACAACTTTTTAAAAAAAACTGGTAGGCCAGGCACAGTGGCGCACACCTATATTCCTAGTGGTTTCGGAGGCTGAGGCAGGAGGATGGTGAATTCAAAGCCAGCCTCAGCAATTTAGTGAGGTCCTAAGGAAGTTAGCAGGACCTGTCTCTAAATAAAACACTTTTTTAAAAAAAGGGCTGGTGATGCGGCTCAGTGGTTAAGTGCCCCTGGGTTCAATCCCTGGTACAAAAAAGAAAAAAAAAAATTGTAGTAGTACAATGGAGAACAAAAGCTGTGAGGGGATCCTCAAGGTGCTGAGGTTTGAAAAACACTGAGTTAGTTCAACCACCTCATTTTACAGATGGGGAATGTGCAACCCAGAGAGAAGAGGGTCAGCTCAAGGTTACTCAGGAGGTTAGACTCTTTCCTCCTGCTCAGAGGTTTTCAGACTCTAATGTGCATACAAATCACCTGTAATTTCTTGTTACAGTGCAGATTCTGATTCAGTAGGTTGGGGGAGGCTGATTCAGCATTTCTTACAAGTGTCCAGAGGATGCCAACATTGTCAATTGGGACCACATTTTGAATAGCAAGCTGCAGCTACCTTTTTTGGAGGAGACATTCTTAGCCAGGCATGGTGCATGCCTCTAATCCCAGTGACTCAGGAGGCTGAAGCATGAGGATTACAAATTCAAGCCCAGCCTCTGCAATTTAGGGAGACCCTAAACAACTTAGTGAGACCCTGTCTCAAATAGAAAATAAAAAGACCTGGGGATATGACTCAGTGGTTAAGTACCCTTGTTCAATCCTTGGTCTCTGCTTCCCCCCGAAAAAAGACATTGTTCCTGACACTAACTGTTAAGTGTGGAAGCTTAATTATGCTCAAGAGAAGTGACAGGCTCTTATTTATGAGCCTCCACCTACCCACCACAGTTCCCCACAGATAGTGAGGACTCAGTCAACATCTACTGACTCTAGGTGATTCTCTAGGGTTCTAGTGGCAAACACCATGAGCAAAAAACTTGCTTAAAAACTTTGCTGAATGATTTCTCTATGCCAGAGTCAGGACATGGTGCTTTTTAGCCAGACATGATCCCAGTGACTTGCGAGGCTAAGGTAGGAGGACGACACAAGGCCAGCTTTAGCAACTTAGTGAGGCCCAAACAACTTAGGTGAGACCCTGTCTCAAAAAATAAAAAAGGGCTAGGGATGCGGCTCAGTGGTTAAATACCCCTGGGTTCAATCTGCTGTACAAAAGGGGTGAGGAGCACTTTTCATACATTAGTTCATGAAGTCCTCTCTGTAGCCATCTGAGGGAAACTAGTATCATCACTATTTCACAGATGAGGAAGCAGCCTCAGGCACTCAGCTATAACACCAACACATCTCCATCCCCCTAGAGTACTCACTTAAGACAGCTTATATCATGTGGAAAGTGCCACTATGATAGAAACACACAAATTTATTGTTTAAAAGTGAATTCTGAAGCCAGGCACAGTGGTATGTCCTTGTAATCCCAGTGACTTGGGAGGCTGAGGCACGAGGATCACAAGTTCAAAGCCAGCCTCAGCAATTCAGTGAGACCCTAAGAAACTTAGTGAGACCTTGTCTCAAATTTTTAAAAAAGAAAAAGAGCTGGGGATGTAGCTCAGTGGTAAAGCACCCTTGGGTTAAATCCCCAGTATCAAAAAAAAAAAAAAAGAAATGAATTCCCCCATTACTGGGTGTGAAACTAGATCTCTTCGTAGAGGGGATTGCATCCTTTCATTCTCAGATAGGGCTCCCAGCAGATGACCTCCAAAGGTCCCAGTGATTGCCAGAATGGTGCTCACCTGTGTAGTAGACATTTTCATCCCAGCCCCTCTTCCTCCAGGCAGCATTTCGAGTCTCCTCCCGAGACTGCAGGTCTTTATAAGCTGTGGGAAAGGCACAAAGGATCTGATCCCTTCTCCAGCACAGGGTCCCCTTTCCACTGTGCCAATTCTGCCCTGCTTTTTTATTTTCTTCCCCAGATGCCTCCCTTGGACTATTAGCAAACACTGTCTACTTTGTCAATCTTATTCAACCAGATGTACAGAAAAGATTAATTTCAGATGACCACAAATAATGCTATTAGAAAAAAGACAGGGAGATAAAGAAGACAAGAAAAGCCTCTCTGAGAGGGTGAAATGGAAGCTCAGAGCTACAGGAGGAGGAGCTGGCTGTGAATTGTTGGGGGATGGCATTCTTAAGGGAAGAGCACTTGCAAAGGCCCTGCAGTGGGGAATCGCCTTCAGGGTTTTAAGGCGAGGACATATTGTCAATTCCAAAATGTATATGTTTAGCCCCAAACTCTCCTGTGGATTCCAGACTGCATATGCAGTGCCCAGGTGACATCTTGGGTATGTCAGTATCTTAAATGAACATTCTGAGGGCCAAAATTAACACTCCTGACTCCTCCTCCTTGCTCCACCACAGATGATTCATTCTCAAGTTCCACTGTTTGAACCTCTAGACTAATGAATCTGTGGACATCTCAGCAGTTCACTGCCACTTCCTGAGGCTAGGCCCCATCCTTGTCTGCATGAACTGATGGGAGCATCTCCTGAGGCCCAGCTTTTTCTTTTGCATCCCTACCAAGCACTCTCAGTAACACACACAGCAGCCAGAGGAATCCTGTTAGAAGGCTGCTCCAGCCTCCCACTCCATTTATGATAAATCCCAGCTCTTCTCTGTGGCCTGTAAGGCTCAGCCTGATCTGGTGTCTGTTACTTCTCATATCCTGTCTCACTTTATTCCCCACTCATTCCATACCAGTCTCCTTTCTCTACCTCAAAACCTCAAAGGCCTTTCCCCATTGCATGGCCTTTGCACATGCTGTTCTCTCCATTCACAATGCAATTCACAGCTGGCTCCTTCTCATCCTTTAATTCTGAGCTTACATTTACCCCTCAGAGAGGCCTTGTCTACCCAAGCCCATATAGGTTCTCTGTGTTTTTTCCTAGCATCTCCCCCAGTCTCTTTTCTACAAATAATATTTGTAATCATCTGAAATGAGTTACTTTGGCTTGTTTACATCTGAAGTAATGTCTCCCTCTACTAGACTAAGTTCCATGAGGGTACTAATGTATCCCTCTGGTTTACAGAGTGCTAATGGAGAAAGGGGACAATCAGAAAGCTCCTGGAAGGTCCCTGACCTACCCCAGAGGTGGTGCACAACGTAGAGCTCTCCTATCTGTGAGAAGAAGCCGCCCACTGCCTCCTGGTTCTCCTGTCGGTACTTGATGGCCCGAGCCCTAGAGATGGCAGAGAGTGTGGGGCAGGAGCCAGTCTGGTGCACAGGGCCTCCTGAGCTGGACCCAGGCTGATTCCTTGGCCACACCTCACAGCAGGGGGCTGAGGTGAGGCCCGTGGCTCTCAGAGATGCTGAGGGAATAGGATAATGGAGATACAGATGCTGGCTGCTTTCCTATAAAGGGAAACCTCACCATTTTCTAGGAGATCTGCATCTCCTCATAGGATCTTTCTTCAGGATCTGGGAGGGACAGAGGATGCTGGGTTCCCTGTGACATGGCCCTGGGAAAGTGGTCCACCAGAGGCCATGCTGGGACAGGACAGCAAGCATTTCCCAGCCCTGATGCCACCACTCACCAGTTGTTCCCCCACTCAATCATGGTTCCTGGCTGAAAGAGAACCAGAAAGAGGAGAGAAATGAGTCCCCACCTTGGATTCCTAGCATCATAGCAGGGCAGAGATGAAAAACTGTCCTATCTCCCCAGCTCCGGGAGCAACTTGGAACTAGGCCCCATTCATGAGCCCTGACTTACACCTGGTATGTAGGTATAGACATGAATGTACACACCTCTGTTCCAAGCAGATAGGAAGGAAAAGGCCAGAAATACAGACTATGTGCTGGGGCACATGGCCCACCATCTAGGGGCATCTACAGAGCAACACTGCAGCAGGGAGGGTCGGGGACAAAGGGGATCTTTTGGGAGGGAGATACCTTGAGCTTGTATGTTCTCAGTTCATAGATATTGGGGCCCGCTCTAGGCTGTGGCTCATTCCAGAAGCTAAACTCCAGGAGCAACTGGTTTCTCCTAGACAGCAGCATACAGCTCCGCTCCTTTCGGAACTCCAGATACTCCTGTGGGCATGGCAGTATGGGTATAGCAGCTAGGAAGTGCCTTCCACCCCAGCAGTATGCCCTGTGGGCTAGTGGAGGAGCCCCCAGCAACAGGGCTGGGCCACAGCTAATATCCAAAGAGGTTGTCATGTGGACACTGACATACCTTGTTGTTTTTGAGCTTGTTCATGCAGTCCATGAGGGCTGGGTATCCACCTGAGAATCTCCACAGGTGCACTGTTGTGGGGAGGTACAGATCAGTGGACTTCCAGGATCCTGCCTGGCTCATGCAAGTGTGGATGTGGCAGTGTGCATGGAGGGTGAGATAAGGCTCAATGGAGAAGGACTCACAGGTCACAGAGGGTACAGGAGAATCCCGGCCCATGTTTGGCAGGGGAGTGAGGCAACAAGATGTGTGTTGATAAAGACCCTCCCCTGCTAGGAGCTGTTGTGAAAGGAGTACAAGGCAGAGAGATGCGAGAGGTCTAGAGGCCAGGGTCTCCGGGGTGTAGGTGATGCTGGGGAGATGGGCACCTCACCTGCCTGGTCCTGCTCCCCATACCATGTGTTCCAGTTGCCCACAAGTGAGCAGGGATAGTCCTCATCTAGGTGCAGCTTAGGCAGCACAGCCTCCCTGTGGGAGGAGCACAAAGAGGACAAGGCTCACACCAGCCAATAGGACTCTATGAATAAGGATTCCAAATCAGGCCCCCAGAATCAGGGCTCAGTCTATCTCTAAGATGCACAGCTGGACAAGACATCCTTAGGACTTCCAGCAAGGAAATCCACATCTCCTGGATTTTGGCAAGAAGGAGGGAGAAGATGTTCTGAGGCTTTGCTGGGATTGGGGTCCCTCAAGCAGGGGCTATGACAGGCCAATGGAGAAAAGATGCTCACGTCAGGCTGTTGTAGGCATCCAGACACTCAGGCTTCACATTGTGAACTGCAACAGAGGACAGATAGTGGGAGGTGAAATGGGGTGTGTGTGGGTGTGTCTTCATTTGGGGTGGGTGGAACCATTAAAGCCAAAGCTCCCAGGATAGCAGAGAATGTTCCCAACCTTTCATCTCCATGTTGGAACCTCAAAGGCTCCCAGAGACCCTGAGAGAGAAGGACTGTCAGCCTAGCAGCCACTCACATTGTATCTTATAGAGGTTGCTGGTCTCCTTCTTGGACAGCAGGGTGGAGTGGGCATCCTTCCGAGGATCCACCTTGTGGACAAAGAGGGACCGAAACCAGCTGCCTTCATTGTCCTTGGAATAGAAACTGTAGGACAGAAAAGTTTAGGGAAACATGCACGGGTAGTAATTCCATCTGCCTAGATGTCTTGCTCTGGGATTAGAGATGTAGATCAGTGGTACAGCACTTACCTACCAAGCATGAGAACCTGGGTTCGATCCCTAACACTCCCACCAAAAAAAAAAAAAAGTGTCAGATGTCTTACTCCCCAAGGCTGGTGACCTACATTTCTGGAAACAGGGCCATGGAATCCCATTGCAGCTTGAGTGTGAAATGCCAACAACCTGGCTGACTTGAGATCCCAGCTATCCAGTCTGCAGCTTTGTAGGACCTCAGAAGTATGGGAGAGGCAGCCTCACCTCTAACCTTTCTCTTTAGCCTCCTTTCATATACTTCCCCCTTTCCCAAAGGGTCTTCTACTTGGGCCAACAATTGTAGCCACTTACAAGAGAATCAACCCCTGCTTGAGATTTGCTGGGATTGGGGTCTTGTCAAGGACTTGCCTAAGTCCTTGACAACCCAACCTATCTCGTTGCCCCACACATACATCTGTGTTTGCCACTTTCCAGGTGTACTCTACCCTGAACACACCAGGCTCTTTTACTATGTTGCTTCTTTGTAATTTCTGTCCCTTCCGATGGGAAGACTGTACTCACTGTCTTCCCCTCAGCTCATACTGCACTTGCCCTGTGCCCCCTTAGGTCCTACAGAGAGCCAAACACAAATAAGCCTTGTCCTTGAGGAGGTCACAGTTCACTTTGAGATGCCGGGTGAGCAGGCCTTAAACTCTGCCTCCAGCAGTCTGGGAAGTGAGGAGATGAGCTGGTCAGTCTCCAGGGCTGATTTGGCAGATACAGGCAGAGGGTGGGTAAGAAGCATTACAAGGCCTTGATTTATTCACTGGGCCAAAGCTGGCCCACCAGATAGGGTGCGGTGAACCAGTGAACCAGTGAACATGATTATGCATTTTGATTATGAGACTGTAGTTTAGAGCTGAGGGACCTGTGGAAGATCCTGCCAGTTGGGGACTGTTACCTCCCCATACATATGCAAGGTCCCAGCAAGGGCAGGCTTATTTTGAGACTGTCTCCTTATTCTGTGGTCTCATGGCCTGGCCTGAAAAGCAAATGTGCTGGAGAGATGGTGTGTAGCAGCAGCAAGCCCTCTTCCTTTTCAAGCCTCTAGCAAATAAAAACATCACTTTTGCTGGGCATGGTGGTATACCCCTTTAATCTAAGCAGCCTGGGAAACTAAGGCAGGAGGATCCCAAATTCAAAGCCAGCCTCAGCAACTTTAGTGAGGCTGTAAGCCACCTAGTGAGACCCTGCCTCAAAAAAAAAGTAAAAAGGGCTGGCAATGTACAAAGCTCCTGGGTTCTATCCCTGGTACCAAAATATGGATCAGCCTCTGGGACTGATAAAATAAAAAGATCTAGAGGGCTGGGGTTGTGTAGCTCAGTGGTAGAGCGCTTGCTTTGTACACTTGAGGCCCTGGGTTCAATTTTCAACACCATATAAAAATAAATAAAAATAAAAATATTGCACCCACCTACAACTAAAAGAATATATATATATATATATATATATATATATATATATGATCATGGGACCAGAGGTATTGCTCAATGGTAGAGCGAGTAGTTAGTCTCAATGGTAGAGCGAGTAGTTAGTGCGTTTGAGGCAATAAAATCCTCAGCAATAACATTAAAAATCATCTTATACTGGCAATATATTTGTAGGAGCATACAGAAAGATAAGAAATTATTTTTCAAAACTGTTAATTCAGTAGTGTCTCCTTATCTTTGAGAGATATATTCCAAGACCCCAAAACCCTATATAAACTATGTTTTTTTCCTATGTGTATACTTATGCTAAAGTTTAATTTATAATCCAGACACAGTAAGAGATTAACAATGCTAATAATAAACTAAAAGAAATATAACAATATTCTGTAATAAAATCATGAATGTCATCTCTGTTTACTTCTGGAATTTTCCATTTAATATTTTCCAACTACAGTTGGTGGCGGATAATGGAAATCATGGTAAATGAAAATAGGGATAAAGGAGGACTACTATATTGCTTTCCTGGGAGAGGGAAGAGGCAGATGGTTAAATTTTTCTCTATTAATTTTAAGTTTTTCTAAAAGATAAAAACTATTGGTTTAAGCATTTCTGAATTACCTGTCAGTCACTGTACATATATTTACTTTATTAACAAAAAGCAAAAAGATAATTATCAATAGATGGATAGCATGGTCTGGGAAATTAGAAGCCTCTAAGCCAGGGATCCCTGATTAACTTTTTTTTTTAAATATTTTTTTTAGTTGTATATGGAGACAGTACCTTTGTTTCTATTTTTTGTGGTGCTGAGGATCGAACCCAGTGCCTCATACATGAGCAAGCGCTCAACCACTGAGCCACAACCCTGGGCCCCCCCGACCCCGATGAAATTTTCAGTTATATAATCTCACTGAATCCATGCAATGACCTTATATTGTTGGTACTACCACTGTCCCCATTTCCAGGAGGATAAAATAGAAGCTCAGAGTTCAAGGGATTTGCCAAAGTCACACAGAAAATTAGGGAGCAGAGTTCTTTTCTGTCTTCTTCCTTCCTTCCTTTCTATTTATTTATTTAGGTACCAGGGATTGAACTCAGGGGGACTCAACCACTGAACATACTCCCAGCCCCTTTTTAAAATTTTATTTATAGACAGGGTCTCACTTTGCTAAGCACTTTGCTGTTGCTGAGGCTTTGAACTTGTGATCCTCCTGTCTCAGCCTCCCAAGTTGCTGGGATTATAGGCATGTGCCACCATGCCCAGCCCAATTTATTTATTTTCTTATTCTGAGTCAGGGTTTTGCTAAATTGCCAAGAGTGGCCTGTAATTTGCAATCCTCCTGCCTCAGCCTCCCAAGTAGCTGGGTTTACAGGCATGCAATATTGCACCTGGCAAGAGCTCTTTCCTTGAAGGTCAGCCCTCTCACTTCATGTAGGCACTGAGGGACCTGACCTTGGTTTGAATGTAAAGGGGCTGCTAATTCCTGGAAGAGAGTGGATCTCTATTTGTCAACTAAGACCTTTGCTCCACAGCTAGGCTTCCTATAATTTATTAACATCAGTAGTACCAAGATAAATAGGCAGTTATCTAGTCCTGAGGAAAGTGCCAGGGAGCTAAAATGCTGGGGAGGAGAAAAGGACCCAGGAGCTCTGATGGGCTCCCATCTCTTCCCACTATCCTCTAATCCTTTCTGCCTATGGGCTTCAGTTTCTGCATTTGTTAAGTGAGCAGGGCAGAGCAACCCACTTTGAAATATCTTTTTCTAAGGTAAAATCCAACAAGTGACTTGTCCAAAATCCTGGGATAGATCTGAACTCCAGCACCTTCAAGTACATATTTTGAAGAATTCAAGTTTCACTTTTTCAGTGAATCTGCAATGTCCTATCCTTGATCTTCTCAACCCCTTTCACACTGCTCTTTTATTTTGTCTGCAGTGACTTCTAAAACACCATGTCTGGGTACAGTGGCACACACTTGTAATCCCAGCAGCTCAGCAGACAGAGGCAGGAGGATCACAAGTTCAAGGCAAGCCTCAGCAACTGAGTGAGGCCATAAGCAACTAGGATATGGCTCAGTGGTTAAATGCCTTGAGTTCAATCCAAAAACAAAATAAAATACTATGCCAGGGGCTGGGGTTATAGCTCAGTGGTAGAATGCTTGCCTCACACATGTGAGACACTGCTGAGTTCCATCCTCAGCACCACATAAAAACAAATAAATAAAGACATTGTGTCCATCTTAAAAAAAAAAAAAAAAAAAAAAAAAAAAAAAAAGCATTATACCAGGGCAGGGGGTGTAACTCAGTGGTAGAGAACTTGCCTAGCATGCATAAGGCCCTGGGTTTGACATCCAACCCTACAAAAAATAAAACACATTGTATCAAAAAAAATTTTTTTGTTACTTATTATATACTAAGTTTATTGTCTGTGTGCCCATCAGAAGCAGCCCCACTAGGCAGGGACCTGGTCTGTCTGCTACATCTCCACTTTATCCCCAGTTTCTGGAATAGGACTGGGTACATGGTATCTGTAACTCAATCTGTATTTGGGAAATCAAAAAATGGGCTGAGCAGGAAGGGTTAAGATATAGTTGCAATGAAAATGATGAAAGCTGGAGTAAGAAAGGAAAGAAATTTGGAACTTGGCCTAGAATACAGACTCAGGAATCAAGCACCTTTTTCATTCTCAACAACAGCAGAATTAGCCCCTAAGAGCACAGACTCTGGACAAACCCAGGTTCTAGTCCTAGCTCAGCTTCATCTTTCTGGGCCTCACTTTCCTCATTGGTAAAATAGGAGCCATTGAACGGGTCTTTAGAGAAAGGGCCTAACATACAGTGCAACTAATATCACTATCCCTACCTACTTACCTTCCTACTGGATCTCCCAGCTCCCACTTTCCCCATCTTTTCCTAATCTGCTCCTCTATCTTTAAAGTGCCTTTTACCTTTTTCTTTCTTTTTTCTTTTTTTGCTTTTTCCTAAAGTGGTGGGGATGGAACCCAGTGCCTCCAGCATGCTACGCAAGTGCTCTACCACTGAGCTACAGTCCCACCCTTTAAAGCATCATCATATGTGTGTATGTATGTGTGTGTTTGTATATATATGTATATACATATATGTATGTGTGTGTGTGTGTGTGTATATATATATATATATATAATCAGATGGACACAATACTTTTATTTATTTTTTATGTGGTGCTGAGGAGCGAACCTAGTACTAGGCAAGCACTCTACCTGAGCTATAATCCCAGCCCAAGCACCATTTTTAAGATGTCCAATGCCTCTAAAACAAAGGTTGAATGTCTCCTCTGGGGATTCTAGCTTTTATCTACTTTGGTGAGGGTTCCAGAGTGAATTCCTTTTTGAAGTTGGCAACTAGAGAGCCAGGATTCCCTATCTCAGCAGGTATCAAACTAACAGTGTCAGTATTACCTGGGAACTTGTGAGAAATTCTTAGGCCCCACCCCAGTAATGCAACAGAAACTCTAAGGATAGGTTTAGCAGTCTGAGTTTTTATAAGCCCACTGGGGATTCTGATATAGGCACAAGGTTGAGGATCATTGCTTCAGAACTGTTCCAATTTCATCTTTTCTTCATGTAATCTCAGTAAATCATCCCAGAAATGCCAAAAATCCTGGAATCTAAACTATATTAAGAATGCCACTTAAGCTCAGAAAAACAAGATAAAGTTTTGTCCAATCTGTTAGAAGGATCTGCCCCAGCTAGACTGCTCCAGCCCTTCCCCACAAAAATATCTCTCAACTCTTTCATCAATGTTATCTGTATATGTCTTTTTCCCTAGGCACATGGGATGCTACTAGTTAATGTCTTTCCATCTCCCAGATACCCAATATAGTGCTTTTGACATAGTAATTGCACAATAAATATTTGACCCAAATGAGAACTTTTCTCTCTCTCTTAAGGAAAAGCTATTGTAGATGATATATTCATCCTGCCAATAGTGATCAACAGTCTGATGCCTCCCCACATAAAACCCAGAATGTTCTAGTTTATATACTAAAAGGCTTGGCTCTATGCATGTCTCATTTGAAAAACTTGACTTTAGAGAGGGGCTGCATTTCTGCTTGTTGTTCTAGAGGGCTGTCTTCAGCTAGAAGAACTGAAGTTTTGTTAACAAGATAACTGAAGCAGCAGTTAAAAGTAACCAGTGTTACTTATTATGAGCACTTACTGTATGCTAAATATTAATTCTCACAGCATATTTTTAAAATAATGAGTCTGGCACTGAGGATATAGCTCAGTGGTGGAACACTTCCCTAGCATGCACAAGGTCCTAGGTTTGATCCCCAGCACCACCCATCCACCCACCTACACATGAAATACAAGGAGGCTCAGAGATGTTTCCAATTCAGGTCTGTCTGATCTCAAGGCCCCGCCTCTGTTTCCATCCCAGCAGCCTCATTGCCCCCAAACCTCAAGAAACCAGAAGGGCTATTGATGGCCCCACTAATGACTCCAGAAAGGTGGCAGGCAGAGGATCAGCAAGAGGTACCCAATGTGGGACCACAAACTACAAAACGGCAAAACAGTTTTTGAGGGACTTGATAAATACTAATCTATATGCCTTCCCAGCAATCCAGTGAAAAGTGCCAAGCAGGGATTACCATGCCCACTTTACAGAGAAGGAAACCATAGCTCAGTGGAGCTTCAATGACACATCCCAAGTTACCAAATGCAACTGAGGACAGCAGGCTGTCTCTAAGTCTCCCACTCCTTTTGTAGCCCCTGGGTATCCACACAAATGATTTTATCACCAAATGATTCTGTTCCTTCCCCAATCTCAATGTCTTCATCTAGAAAACATGGGCCTATAAAAGATTATCTCCACGAGGCCTTTTCAACCCTGACATTTTGTGGGGTCTAGGGTAGAAATTGCCTGAGATACAGGCTTGAGCAAGTGATAACACTTGAGTGCATCAGGTGACACATCACAAGCATGACCTCTTCAGTCCTCAACACTCCTATGATATACATCCTATTTGTCATCCTCATTTTACAGATAAGGAAACTGAGGCTTGAAGAAGTCAAATGTCATACTGAAGGGCACCTTTCAAAAAATGGCTGATTTAAATTTGCTAGCGCCAGGCAAACTCCAGGCTCATTTCATGATGTCAACCTTCTCATTATCAGGTAGTCCAGGTGAGGGGCACATGCTTGGCTCCTATCTCCCAGTGTCTAAAGGGCTCACTGCATAGTGCTCTAACATCTCACAGGTTTAACAGAACTCTGCAGCTTCACTCCTGGGCTGCTGGGCAGGAGGAAATACTGCTTCCTTTTCACAAGTGGGAGAAAGTGTTCTCACTTCTTTGGCAAATACTCTTGAGCATATACTGTCCTGATCCCTGTGGGGGTGGGGAGTTGAGGAAACAGAAAAATTAGGTAATGATCTAATGGGGCAGATAGGTAAGCACCAAGTCATAAGTACACAGGGTGATATGTGCAGATATGGGGGAAGTACAGGGCACTGAATGGAGGAGGGAGGAGTTGCCTAGAGTCACTCAGGGGAAGCCAAGCCCTGTCTTAGCCCAGGACAAACAAAAGCCTGGGGTGAGCACATGGTCCGGCCAGCCTCCCTCCCCCAGAAGGCCATCAGTTATGGTGCAAAGTGCAAGGTACACTCAGGCTCCACTACTGCCACTGCACAGCATGGAGACTGACCTTGGACAATTCCCATCTTAGGTTTCTGTTGACCCACCTATACAGTTCAGAGTGGGGAAGCAAAAGATCTGTAAGGCAATGGTCCTTGGGGCACCCTCGCCCTTCCTCCTAGAACTTGCTGAGAGAGAAAGTGCCTCGCCCAGAAACCCCCAGCGGGTGCTAAATCATAGTCTCGGGCAAAGGCCCCAGGAAAGGGGCAATGCTACTATCCTCGGTTCCCTCAGAACTTGCCCCTCCCACTCAATCCATCTTTCATTCTTCACGGACAGCCAGATTCCCACCAGCACAAAGACCCTGCCCTTACTTTCTCACCTCCCCCATTCTTTCCCAGACCTTCCCCAGGCCTAGATCCTGGCTCCGCCTCTAATCCTTGGATTCCAAACCCGAGTCTCCGCCCCTCCCCCAGGCCCAGACCCTGGCCGCCGCCCCTGCAACTCAGCGCGCGGCCGCCGCCTCCCAGCCAGGCTCTCACCGCGTCGCAGCCGCAGCCGCGACGTCCCCTGCGCGGGGTCCCGGGCTCCCCAGCACCCGCCGCGCCGCTGCAGAGATGCTGCACAGACGCGGAGCCATGTTGTAGCGGCGCAGGTTGGAGGAAGGCCCCGCCCCCGAACCCGGCGGCGGAGGCGTGGCGCTTGTAGGCTCCGCCCCTTCGAGTCGCCCGGCCTCCCTCTGCTCTTGGCCGGGTGGGCGCTGGGCACCTGCGTTCTCCCGCTCCGCAGGTGCGCGGTAGAGAGCCTGGTGCAGATTTCTGAGTTCTGAGGCTCTACGGCTGACTCGCTCTGTTGTCTTGAACAAGCCTTTTCCCACTCTGGGTCTCAGTGTTCAACTCGATAAAATGGGAGCCTCAAACAGTGTACCTGGGGTCCAGAGAATGGGCCAAGGAAAGTCAGTAAGCCCCCTGAAATTGTATACAAGATTATGTGAGTTCTCCCATCCCCAGTGCTGGGAATCAAACTCAGGTGCTCACACATGCTAAGAATGTGCTCTGCCCACCCCTCCCTCTGGGGCATGACTACCCTTTATCATACTATCAAAGAAACAAACTCTTTTAACAATTTAAGACAGTTGGGCAAGACTCTGGACAACCACTGTGTTTTCTCTCCAGCATCTTTTGCTTTTTAATCTTCCTTTTCCTTCTCTGTACGAACCTCCTGGATCTCACATACACTTTCAAAGTTCCTTTGCCTGTCGTCCAAATTAATTCCTTCTCAACCCATAATCCCTCAGATAACAGACTGGAATGGAAAGCCTAAAGATCCCACAGTGGGCGGACCCAGGGACAGAGCTACACCTCCCCCAAAAGAATGTCCACCCACTCACTGGTGTTTTCCTCCTGGTGTGCTTGGGTGGAGAGTTGGAGGGCAGGCTTTAATTTCTTGATTGTTTTAAATAGTGAATCTGCCTGGCTAGGCCCTGTGCTCTGAGACACCAAAAATTGACTGTACAAGCACCATACTGCTCAGCGGGGCAGAAGAATATCAAGTCACCACTGACTTTGAACCCCTCCAGGGCAGAGGCCTCAGCCGCTTATCCTTCCCTCATCTCTCCTGCCTGATGTATTAAGGATTTACCAAATAAGTGAAAAATATGCATACAGATACATTTGCCAATTGTGATAGAGGCTATGAAGAAATATGGGTAGAACTTGTGATGGGGGTGAGGAAAGCATAGGGAAGTTCTTTAAAGACTTCCAATATCTGTGATGACTTTTGTAAGGAAGTTAGATTTGAATGATGTTTTTCTTTTTTCCCTAAGTTTTCTTTCTCTCTTTCTTTTTTTTTTTCTTTTCTTTATTTTTTTTAGTTGAAGGGGGGTTACCATAATGAACCCAGGGGCGATTAACTGCTGAGTCACATCCCCAGCCCTTTTTTGTTTTATTTTGAAACAGAGTCTAAGGGCCTCCTAAATTGCTGAGGCTGGCTTTGAACTGGCAATCCTCCTGCTTCAGCCTCCTAAGCAGGTGTCAGCCTTCTCTTCTGGTGCCTTCCCTAATTTGTCTAAAGTTGTTACAATGAACATGTATTTTGTGACTTATTTAAAAAGGAAACTGTATATCAACTTGATAAATGGAAAGCAGAATTAATTGTCATAAGCAGGTGGAATCATCAAAATAAATGCAATGAAAACAACAGTATTGATGTTCCAATGTAGCTAAGGCAGAGGCTATGAGTTTATAGCTTGAGCCCTTTGATAACAAAGTAAAGCACCTAGAAGGGGTCAGAGGCATAACTGTGCCCCATTTATGTGCACATGTGCTCTGTCTCTCTGTCTCTGTCTCTGTATCTCTCTCTCTCTCTCTCTCTTTTTTTTTTTTTTTTTTGGACCCGGGATATAACCCAGGGGCATTTTACCATCAAGCCACATCTCCAGCCCTTTTTAGTTTTTGTTTTTGAGTCAGGGTCTTACTGAATTGCTTAGGACTCACTAAGTGTCGAGGTTGAACTTGAACTTGCAATCCTTCTGCCTCAGCTTCCCAGGCCACTGGGGTTACAGGCGAGCACCACTGGCACCTGGCCCTAATTGCTGTTTGAGGTTATAAGAAAACCTGAAAGCAGTGGATTTTTCATTCTGGAAATCGGTGTATTCTCTACAGGGCCCCAAGTTACAGCCACTCTGGAAAAACCAGATGGGTAGACAGAGGAAGAGCAAATGGAGACATCACTAGAGTCATGCAGTGGGAGCTGTTCTTCCCTTAGGAACCAAGTATGACAAACTGAGTGTAAGAGACAGAAGCAACCACTTGCAGAAGGCCTGACTTTGGACTTGAATTTCTAAGGATGAATAGAAGTTTTCCAGGAATAGAGGGAAGGGAAAACCTCAGAAGCAATGTGTACACAATACAGTTATCCTCAGAAAATCTGTGGAGGGTTGGTCTTAGGACCTCTTATAGATAAAAAGAAAACCCATGGATGGGGCTGGGGTTGTGGCTCAGTGGTAGAGCTCTTGCCTAGCATGTGCAAGACCCTGGGTTTAGGGCTGGGGATGTGGCTCAAGCGGTAGCGGCCCAGGTTCGATCCTCAGCATCACATACAAACGAAGATGTTGTGTCTGCCAATAACTAAAAAATAAATATTAAAAAAATTATCTCTATCTCTCCCTCTCTCTCTCTCTCTCTCTCTCACTCTCTCTTTAAAAAAAAAAAAAAGACCCTAGGTTTGATCCTCAGCACCACATAAAAATCAATCAATCAATCAATCAATAAATAAAGGTATGTGACCAACTACAACTGAAAAATAAATATTAAGAAAAACCCATGGATGTTCAAGTCCTTTATATACCAATAATATTCATATAACCTATGTGTGTCTAACATCAAAGATTATGTGTATGTTAATGTAGATAGTTATTAAACTAGTAACAAAAAATAAGACAAGCCAGGCAAGCCAGGCATGGTAGAGCATGTCTGTAATCTCAGTGGCTTGGGAGGCTAAGGCAGGAGAATCACAAGTTTGAAGCCAGCCTTAGCAACTTAGTGAGACTATGAGCAACCTAATGAGACCCTTTCTCAAAATAAAAAAAAATAAAAAGGTTTGAGGATGGAGCTCAGTGGTTAAGAGCCCTTGGATTCATTCCCTGGTACCAAAAATTAAAATAAAAAAGAATTCTTTTACTGTATTATTTAGGGAATAGTGATCAAAAAAAAGTTTGTACATGTTCAGTACAGACACTATTTGGGAGGGAGATCCCAGGGATTGAACTCAGGGGCACTCAACCACTGAGCCCCATCCCCAACCTTATTTTGTATTTTATTTAGAGACAGGGTCTCACTGAGTTGCTAAGTGCCTCACTAGTTGCTGAGACTGGATTTGAAYTTGCGATCCTCCTGCCTCAGCCTCCCAAGCTGCTGGGATTATAGGCATGTGCCACCAAGCCTGGCTAGACACTTTTTCCCAAATGTTTTCGATCCACAATTGGTTGAATCCAAGATGTGGAACCCATAGTGCAAAGGACTGATGGTATGTGAAGGGTCTTCCAGGGAGAAAGCACAATAGAATGTAAACAAATGTTGGTATGTGGCAGCAGCTTCTCACTCAGTACAAAGGATAATTTTCTGACAATGGAATGGGCAACCCTTGGTGACCTGTCACTGAATAATGCCAGCACAGTGTGCATAGTAACTCATTGGTCATGTGGTAGAGGACATTTGGTAATCAAATCACAGAATCAAGACCCATGGACCGGGAGGGGCTGGCCCTGCTGTTCTGGGGAGAGCATCTCCTTAAAGCCTCAGTGTTTCTGCCTGCCTCACCTGCAGCAGGGAGGAAGGAATGATTGGCTGCTGCCTTCTCCTGTTAGTCTTGGCATTTCCAAGAAGGGTTTTTCCATCTTGCTTCACCCAAGTAGGGCAGGAGGGTGAAACAGGCAGGCTCCTGGAGCATCCTTCTAGCCCCTAACTGGGAGAGATGGAAGATAGGCCTCCATCCCTGCTTACATGTTATGCTTTGAATGTTTGTCCCCCAGAATTATCATGTTGAAAACCTCATCCCCACTCATATGTTAATGGCATTTGGAAATGGAACCTGTGGGTGATTTGTTCATAGGGCCTCTGCCTTCATGAATGGATTAATCAATTCATGGATCAATAGATTATCACGAGAGTAGGTTAATTATCCTGAGGGTAGGTCTGTTATAAAAGCCAGTTTGGGCTCTCGGCCTTAGCGCCATCTTCTTGCCATCTTCTTGGAAACCTCTGCGCCATGAGAGCCAAGTGGAGGAAGAAGCAAATGCGCAGGCTGAAGCACAAAAGAAGAAAGATGAGGCAGAGTTCTAAGTAAACTAGCTGGGCACCGTGGAAGCCAAAGGAGTAGAGATWYGGAATGCCAGGGGCCGGGGACGTTGGTACAAGTTGGACTGCCTCCTACTGTCCACATTTTGTCTCGGTGGATTTAAAAACTTTCGCCATTCTGTCGCCAAGACTACCACTGAGAGAAGACCCACCTTGCTCTTAACATTCCCTATTGGTCCTTTGCCTGGGACCTTTGGCATTCTGGACTAATTCATTTTATCAGTTGTGGCCAGTGTAACGAGTGTACAATAAATCATCCCTTCTGTTTTAGCTGAAGAATTAAAAAAAAAAAAAGCCAGTTTGGGGTTTGGGATATAGTTCAGTGTTACAGCATGTGATTAGTATGTGTGAGGCCCTGGGTTCAGTCCCCAGCATGCCTGTGCATGCACACACACACACACACACACAACCAGTCTGACTCCTCTTGAGAACTCTCACCATAAGATGCTCTGTACTGCCTCTAGACTCTGTAGAGTCCCCACCAGACTGGGTGTGGTGGTACACACCTGTAATCCCAGTGATTTGGGAGGCTGAGGCAGGAGGATTGCAAATTCAAGCCAGTCTGGGCAATTTAGAAAGAATTTGTCAGGAAGTAACAAATAGAGTTCAGTGGTAGAGTATTTCTCAGTTCAGTCTCCAGTAACACACACACGGTCCCCACCAGCAAGAAAGCCCTCATCAGAGATGCAGCCCCTCAGCCTTGGTCTTCCCAGCATCTGAAACTGTAAGAAATAATTTTTTTTCTTTATCAATGATCCAGTATCAGATATTCTGTTATAGCAACAGACTAAGTCATCCCTTATAAACAAC